AAAATCTAAAGCAAGTTGTTCTTGAATCAGAAATTAACCAGTTTGACATGATAGAATTTACAGCGCATGCAAATAAAAAATAAACATACCAGATCTGAAATTAAAATACGTTAATTTGTTTGTTTGTTTTGTTGTTAAGCAGATAGTTACACAAAGGGCTATCTGTGCTCTGTCCACTGTGGGTATTGAAACCCAATTTTTAGCGTTAAAAGCCCGAAGACTTATTGCTGATTCACGGGGCAAATGCGTTAAAAGGAGGGGGTGAAGTTTGCTAACTACCAAATACAGTCAGTGTATTTTTCATAGATCAATTTCGTGCTATTTAATTTTTTTTACTAAGTCTCTCTTATAAGTCTTCATTTTGAAATTGTAAATAACTTATAATGACTATTTGCTAAGTAAAATAGTGTTCTGGTAGACTCATGCTTTTCTTCAGCTCGAGAGAAATCCTAGCCTAATCAATCTAACATTTATACAACAGTGTCACCCATGAATCAGTTTTTATTAACAACTAATTACAACAAACAATTTAATAATATTACATGAGAGAAAAATTTTAAATATGTTATAGTTAGATATATTAGAGAACACAAGTATATCGTACTATTGCATAACAGGTGCTTAACAGTTGTTTTCCTATTCAGCTCATTCATATGCCCTTATCCTTGGCGTTAGATTATCATTAGGAGAATTATAACCAATTCCAGCCACTTTATCCTGAGGGTTTTGATTCTTGAAAACCTCTTCTGCGCCAAATGCTGTATTTGTTTTTTTTTATTTTCCATGGGCTGAAAACATGGTTGATTTGAAAGTGATTTAATATGCGAGACCATATTCAGAGTTAATTCTTCTTCCTGAAAAGAATTGCATTCGGTTTGGCCACCTCCGCAGATATCCATTTCTCTGTATTGTTTTATTTTTTACCATTGAATTTTTTATAGCTGGTCATAATAAACAACCTTTGTTTTGGAAATTATGCTCTACACCAAATTTCTGATTATACTTATCAAGTAAAGTTGCACCTTCATAGCTTCCAAAGAACAAATGTCTGTTTTTAAACATCACTATGATGAAACTGAATTTTCCACTACTGAATTATCCCACCTCTTTATATTTTATATCATAATCTTCAGCTTCTTATAGGCATAGTCAAAAAGAAGGTTTAATAATATCCCTCACAAGAATGATATAATGATACAATCGATATAAGGCTGTTCAGATATATTTTCATGTTCTATGCTTCTTATCGGATAAGAGAGAGCCCCCTCCCCCAGTGGCACAGCGATATATCTGCGGATTTATACTGCTAGAAACCGCGTTTCGACACCCGTGTTGGTTTCTCTCATCCAAACTCATGAATACTTAGTTTAACACCACATGTGTTTCATTTCACCTGAAGAAAGACGAAGAGTTGTTTTCTTGGATTTCTTCACTCCCATAAACTTAGTCCTTTTAGCAAACAGCACTGATTCAAAGTTCCGCCTTTGATCAGATCTAAATTCCATCGATACCACATATCTCTATAGAAACTTAATAACCAATAAAGAACCTAGGACAATGATAGCTTCTTTTTCAAGTGATGCGCCAACATTGATTTCACGATGCTGTTTGCGAAGTTTCTTCATGGATCCTTTTCTTTTACAAAAAATTTTCAGAGATCAGCGACATCCAAACCAGCATAATCTTTCATTCATTCCAAAGTTTTCCTAGCATCAAAACATTTAACTTTCTGAAAATTATGGAGATGATAAAATATTTATGGTTGGACTGATCTCGGAAGCACCGAACGAAATTGTTTCTGTTGTGTGTGTGTTCCTTGCACAGGATGCTACCATACATGGGCGTTCGTAGAATTTATTACAAGTGGGGGCAAGTCATCCCCAAAATTAGTCAAGTTTTGCGAGCCACCTCTCAGGAGCAATAAAGCCACATCAGTTGATAGCTCTGTTCTCCATGGAGTCAAAACACTTCCGCAACTTGGCTACTATTTTTGCAAATTCTCAATCAAGTCAAGCACTGGTCCATCGGACTCAACATCAACCATTTCACTACCTATCCTTGAATCTACTTGTTCCAAGCAGTGATCTGCCTGGAACGATTAAGGAAGCAGTCAAGGTCTTCCTTAGTTGTACCTTTAAATACCAGAAAAACACCTGATTCATCTTGCCCACAAGGGCCTGTGGATGTGGAAGCAAAACATGTCTAGCATTGTTTTGGCCAATATCAGGCTGAGACACTCACAGTGTCAAAGGCAGTGGGTAGGTAGGTAGGGTTGGTGCCCAGGGACCACTTCATCTAAATGAGCATTTGATCCTTGTTTCCAGGCACCAGAGCAATAAACTGCCATGGAAAACTCGTCTTCCAGCTCTGCACAACCTACCATGTTCTAGTAGTAAACTGCTTGTCTCATTGACAAGTGTCTCTCCTGATGACCAAACAGTTTTGAATGACAGACATTATCTATCATGAGCATCCGCCATTCTTCTTCAATTAGTAACACGTGATGACAATCAGGGTTGGGGTTAGGCTGCACTGACTAGTGACAGACAAGGTTTCCTAGAAAAACTTCCCAAATCAGTCTCAGTATCTACAGAATGCAAGTAATCAATCATCCATGCCTTCTGTGAGCCACAGGAATTAATAAAGATCGAATTAGTTACACAGCTCTGGTGGTCGCATACTGCAGTTTTCCTTCCTGAATTTCAGCTGATTCAAGACTGTAGACATGGCACATTGTATCATCAGTGAAAGGCCTATGTACAAGAGAGGAATGCTTTTAGACTTATCTAATCTTAAATGTTGAACTCGTCTCTTTGTACAAGTCCTTCATCCAGAAAATGTCATTTCCAAGTTTTACTGGCATATAAAACCTATACTATACAGAAAAAGTACAAAGGATCAGAGAAAAGTACACGTGTCAAAACCTAGAAAATTCTGCAATGCAATTCCTGTTATCACAGCGCCACAATACAAACCCTGTTGTCACAGCAACAAAAACTATTCTTACATTGAGGTATTCTCAAGAACACTGATTTACGACATGTAAAAAAAGCCCCACTAATAACTAAAGGCTGAAAAAGAAACGTTTTATGGAATTTAAACTGAAAATTTGACGCTACTGAGGTACAAAAAAGCACTTAACATAATGAGAAAGGAAGTAAATGTAATCTTTATTTTCAACAACGACAATAAGTGCACTAAACTCCAGACATTGCTATTCTAGAGAAATCCTTCAGAAATTTCTGATGAAAATTCTTTGAGAAAAGTGCGTTCAAAACTGAGAAAGAATTAAATTATATTGTTACGTCTCTGGTCGTTTGTTAATTTCCCCTAAAAATTCTTTCCGAGAAACTTCAGCATAGAAGTCCTTTCTTAATTAAAACTAGTTTATTCTTGCTCAATACAACTTTGCAATATACTTAATTTCCACAGTTACTTTAACTTAAACACACGCTATAATTCACAACGATTCACGCACTTTCTTACGGTCCGTCTCTATCTGTGCCTGTCTGCAATTATCTCTGCCGTCACTTCTTGCCGGTCTTATATATACAAAATAGAGGGCGTCTGACAAACACTCGAGCCTTCAGAAACCTTCTAGATACTCATTACGTGTTACCGGCGTCACGTGACTTTCGCTGTCGTAACAATATATACATAAACAATAACGCCATTCCTCCCAGAGCTCAGGTGCTACTCACGCCATCGGTAGTTCCAAGTGAAAGTAACGAGTGCTCAATTCTAGGGCATTTCTAATATTAAACACTAGAATCTTACCACAGAACTAAAAATTGATCTTCATCAATATATCCAGTGAGAAACATTCAAAAATACCTAGGTCGGACATGAGCTTTGACCGTGAAAAAAGGCAGTAGTCCACAAGACAAATTTCCTATATGTGAAAGTGTTGAAACGCTCCAAAAGCTTATATTTCTGAAAACTAAATATTTTACCTTCCTAATCCAAAAGAGAAAAGAGCACGTGGTAGTACTATTTAACGCATACTTACATGCATGAAAACATTTCTGCATACTACAACTGCTGGCCTTCAATACTGCCGACTGCAACTCATTCTTTTAGCCAATTATCCTGTTAGAAAAACAAAACATTCTTAACCAGAGTAACCTTGTCTTTTTCAGATATTAAAATTTGTGTCCTCGTGCCCTATTGTCTTAATGATATTGTCCCCTGATAATTTTCTAAACTTCGAGTTCAACTTTTACCCTTCGTTTCTCAATAGAGAATAAGTCAAGACATCTTAACCAATCACCGTGAAAGATCCATTTCATCCCCGGAATCATCCTAGTATCTTTCCTCTGAACTAACTTGTCATAGCCTTCGTGATTATGTCACTCTACTCGCAATATGCGGGTCACGGGATCGAATACCGTCATCTAATGTGCTTGGCCTTTCAGCTGTGGAGCGTGTTAGTGATGGCCAATCCCACTATTCGTTGGCAAAGAGTAACCAAAAATTGACGGTCGGTAGTGTTCACTAGGTGCCTTCCATTTAGTCTATCACTTCAAAACTAGGGACAGTTGGCGCAGTGTAGGTTTGTGTAAAATTCGACAAAACAAACAGTCCTATGAACCGTTTCCAACTAGCCAGCATTCATCCTTAGATAAGGAAACCCAACTGTTTAGAGTATTGTAAGTGAGGTTTTTCTAGTGATTTGGATAGAAATAATGACCTTTTTGACTTGTAATCGATATGTCTATAAATACATATTAAAATTATATAATGTTTGGAGACGGCTTGTCGAAACGTTGTACATTTGCTATTATGTTAAACTTATATTAAAGTTTTTCTTCATTACCCATTCAAGCTGTCTCCAAACATTATTAGTCTCAAAGTGGGTTCCTCGTAATCGAATCTTAAAATTATATTAACTTTACTACCAACAAAGCATGTCATAACCTTAACTGATAGGATGAGGCCAAAAAATTACGTTTCAAACTTTTATGAAATATATGCATATGTGTTCAGACTGAAAAACTCCAAATATCTATATTTAAAATTGCAACTAGATAGAGGGCAAAAGAGATTAAAGATGGCTTCTCTTTTTAGTGGATTTGGTCGAAATTTGCCAAGATTGCTAAGGCATAGCAATAGCACATTTAGGTAAATTGCACTTTGTAATTAACTAAATAAAATTCTTACGTAAAAAGTAGAAAATACTAGGTAACTTTACTTAGATTTGTATAATTTACTCAGTGTGTAGATATTCGCATGGTAACTTATGTCTCGTTCAATCATTGATGATTGAGTATGGAACTTGCAACTATCGTGATTTTTATATAGTATATTCTAATATTTTTACATTTTGGCCTAGTTTTACAATTGCATTATATTAGTTATTATAATTCTTGTGCTATATGTTTTTAACACGATAATACAAGTTTTATAGGTTAGGACACCATACTTGTTGACCTAAGAATCAGTATGACCTGTTATTGTTAGTGTTTAGATAAAACAGTTAAGAACTTTTAATTTTACTGTACTAGAATAGGATATTCTTCTCTTAATCGTCGTTTAAAGTACTAAAACAGTCGTGTAATATAATACTTAATAGATGAAGAACTATATTATTATTAGTTGATGTACTTAAAAAGTTAAACAAACTTTTAGTGTAAATTGATTACAAGTCTGATGTTGAGAAAAGATTAAATATTGGTGACAGCAAATAATAGAACAGGTTGATTTACAAAGGGTATAAGAGATATGATTAAAAAAAACATCAGAGGCATCACTAGGTACTTAAAAGAATCAGGGCTCGGGCCCATTGGCATGGGAATTTTCAGTATAATATTTATCATGGTTTTCTATTCTGATTTTGTAAGACACCAACTGGGGATTCAGAGTACTGTCCTATAGAATTGTGGCACAGCTGTATGCCTATGCTTAGTGATGCCTCTGAAAAATATTATAAGTATAAGAATTTTAAATTTTGTGCTATGATAGAGAATTATAGGCTTACAGAAGATCAGAAGAGTTGGCCAAACAGGATATTAAGAAATTGAAAAGGTATATGGAAAAAGGTTGAATGAAAATGTAAAAGATAACACTGTGAGAATTAATTTAATACATTAAGGATAAGAAAAATGTTAGGATGGGAGCAGGGTCTTTGAAGGATGAAAAAGGGAAGTTAATTTATAATGATTATGAGATGGCCTAGTTACTAAATTTTTAAATTTTCTTCAAATTTTGCTAATGAAGATTTAAGCAATATTCCTCATCCTGAACAGTTTCAAGACAGAAACAAGATTATCACATTACTTATGAGCTTGTTAAAAAATTGAGAAGTTTAAAGAATAAGTCTCCTAGGTCAGATATTTCCTCAAGGGTTTTAAAGGAGGATAAGAACTGAAAGACTGAGCCACTTGATAATAGTTTTGTAGCTAATTTGAATAATGGACAGGTGCCAGAAGATTGGTGGTTAACTAATGTTACTCCTATTTTCAAGGCACTTGATAGAAATTGTCAAGGTAATTATAGGCTTATTAGTCTAATATCAGTGGTGGGAAACATTTTGTAAGTCTAATAAAAGATGCTTTGATAAGTAATAGATTATGTTTCATAGTCAACATAATTTCACGTGAGTTAAATCTTGTCTTTCTAACTTTCTGAAATTCTTTGAAGAGATGAGGGTAAGGGTGTGAGTTTGACATATGTGGATTTTCGGAAAGAATTTTATAAGGTGCCACATAAAAAGCTTGTTAAAACAAATTATATCTATAGATGAGGGGTTAAGTTGGCTCAGTGGATACAAAAATGGCTGGATGGAAGAAAGTAAAGTGTTGTTATAAATGGAGTTCAGTCAAACTGGATTAATGTCATAAATAGGGTACATCAGGATTCAGTGTTAGAACCTTTGCTCCTTTTTATTTAGATCAATGACAAAGATGAAGGAGTGTTCATTAAATTGTTTAGATCTGCTGATGATATTAAAGTTTATGGTGTTGCTGGTTGTGAGGAGGATGCTGCTGCTTTACAAAAGGATTTAGATTACATGGTGAATTGGGTGAATAAATGGCTTTTAATTATAATAAATGCGAGGTAATGTGTATGGGCTCTTTTAAATTTAATTTTGATAAAAATAACCTTAACAATGTTATGGAAGGAAAGGATCTGGTGTTCTGATTAATCAGAATCTTAAGCCATCCAAGTAGTTTGTTGTTACTGATGTTAAAACAAATAGGATTTTAGATTTTATTTACAGAAGTATTGAATATAAGTCTAAAAAGGTGATTATTTCATTGTATAAATCACTGGTTAGGTTCCATTTGGAGTATCATTTTCAGTCTTAGTGTCCTTACTTTAGGATGAACATTGAATTTTTTTAAAAGGGTTTTGGAGATGAGCTACTAAATAATACTTGTGTTGGAAAGGTTGTCATACAAAAACAAGTTAAGATCCTTGAAATTGTTTTCTTTTGAAAAAAGAAGAGTTAGAAGGGATATGATTGAAATGTTTAAGATTGTTAAGGGGATTCATAGTGTTGATGCATCATCTTTTTTCATATTTAATGGTGAGAATTGTAGGACTAAGGGACACAAATATAAATTTTGGCATTATAGGAGTCATCTTCATATGAGATAGTTTTATTTTTCTAACAGAACAGCTAGACTTTGGAATGTGTTGCCTTCACATCTGCTGGATGCAGTTAATTTAAAGGAAGGCATGATAAATATTTAAATGATAAGGGCTGACTTTGAGTTTTAATATATTTTAATAGATCAGACAGTATAGTTGGACCAACAGCCCTGTTCTTAAATTATGTAGTATACTAAAGATCCTTTTATTTATGAATTAAAAAAGTGTCAATGATTTTCAAAAACAACTGAAGGACACAATTGTTCTTTAAAGAAAAATTAATAAATTTGTGTTGATTTTTCAGCTGCCCTGTGTACTTTAAACACAAATTTTCTTAGCATTGTCTTCCAGTACAGGCCGCGGTACCAACAACTTTAACTAGAATTTTGTTATTTCAATGTATATATATATTTTAATATTCATGGTTAATAGTTATATCCATACAGTACCTAAATGTCATATAGGAGTCAGTGCTTCAATGGAACAAGTGGATGAGAAAATCATCATGAGTCAAAATTGATTATCTGATCTTTATAACTTTAATCCTAGATTTAATTTTTCATTTTATAATTTAATATTGTCTGACCTTCACTAGGGTTTGTAATGTTATGATTTGGTTATATAATTTGCTGGCAGTAGCAAAGGAAGCTATTTTAGTGCAAACACAAGGTATTATATATAAATATAGCCACATATAGCAAGCTATTTCAGGGGTTTAGAGATGGGAACCTTTGGGTCAAAGATGAGCAGTAACATTTTATCACATTATATAAGATGAAACAAATGATTAGCAAGTTAAGGAACAAGTACACAGTTTAAGCATCTCATGATAATAATGTATGTATGATCAAATGTGTTGGTAAATCACAAAAAAAAAATCCCTAGTGCTTTTGATAGGTCCTGTTGATGGCACTAAGATTTGATTATCTTTTTAATATATTTAAATATGTCAGGTATTATTAGGGCATAAAAACTGCATGTCAAGGGTAAGAGTGGAAAGCCATAAGTTTAAAGTTTGTGTTAAGGTTTCAAATAATTTTAGTTAAAAAGTTAAGAGAAATCCTGCTTTATTGGGTGTAAATAAGGTAGACTTAAATTCAGATATTATTATTAGATGTAGTTTTAGACAAGTTAGAGGAACTGCTAGCCAAAAGTAAGCCCAACATTACTTTCAAATTTGTACTTATGTGTAACCAATACTGTTTGGTACAAAATTACAGAATAGAAAGTGTCATTATAATAATGTTACTGATTAGAGAATCATGGTGTTCTGATTCTAACAGTGTCATCATGATAACTTACAAAAATTAGGGCATTTATATAATGCATAATAAATTTAGACAAGTGTTAGGAGTTTGAAATAGTCATTTGCAGAATTTTAGTTTGTTACAATATAAATGGTTTAAAAACATGCTTCTTTTTTTTCAGGCGAGAAATCTCGGTAACATCGATCTGTGCAGATAAGTCATCACAACAACGTTTTGATCCAGATGTCAAAGATATTAAGTCATCACAACAACGTTTTGATCCAGATGTCAAAGATATTCAAAGTGTTCTTGAACCAGAGGAAAGTAAACATCAAGAAGCTTTACACAAATTTATCACCGTTGATACTCCTGTAAGTTCAGTGGATATTAGCTGCCTTATAAATTATTATAAACAAAAGTAACTGTCATATTTCATATTTGTTGTGATCTCCATTAGTGTCACCCAAGCATGTAGTTATTTTTATCTTACATTTATAATTTGGGTTTTGGAAGGATTAGTACATATATAAAGAAAATTCTCTCTCACGTACAGAAATTGTTACTCCTTCAAGTTACCTTTGATATTTTGTTATTCTTGTGGTGTAAATAAAGTTAATCCATTTTTTAAATCTTAGGCTGTTGTTTTAGGTCAATTTTATTTAGTATTTAATATTTTAAATGAAACCAACTTTAGCATCTACATACTCTCCAACTTACAACTGCAAATATATTAAGTGGAAACATTGTTTATTGACAAAAAAGGGGACATGGATAAATGTTTCGGAATTCTATCAGATTCCATCTTCAGTATCTAAAGCAGAATAAAATGAATTTACATCAGTCTTTATACATTTTCAAAGTACAGTTGCTAAATATAACGATAATTAAACAAATAAAACACTAAACAGTAATAATGGGGAGAAACTACAGCAGGAAAACACAACGAAAAAAAAAACAAATGAAAAATTAGTAATACGAACATATTAAAAAATGTATAATTTAAATGAAGACTGCATGTTGTTCAGAGTTGGAGAGTGCTGCCTGATGTGGAGGGTTTCTTTGATCAGTAAAAACTTTCATTAACTTTTCTCAGTTTATAGATCACAGAATACAACCTTGCATCCATATAAATCAATAATTTTCACTTTGATATTTCTTTGAATTATTAATGATCATTAGATTTTGATAATATTAAAATTTTCTGGAAATCACAAAAGCCCAGTAATGTATTTCTAAATTGTGCATATCTTTAGTAAAATAAGAAGTTTCTCAGACAGGTAATTTAATCGTTATAATGCCAATCTATTTTACTTGCTTTTAGATGTATTCTTATTAGGAATATCCAGAAAGTCCAAATTTTACTCTTCCACTTCTCTTTGGTTCCATAAATCTTTTTATTTTTACTTGTAAGATTTTACTTGCCTCTAAAAAATCAAAGTGAGGAAACAAAAAGGTAAATCAAAATTATCTGTAACTTATGGTCAAATGTTAAAATGGTTTATCTATTATGATAGCTCCAGATTAGATAGGGAAGATATTAATTTTCCAATTTTTAATTTTTTTAGCATTATATTAAAAAAAAATATAATGAAAGTTTTCACTTGCTTTTACCTCTTGCAATACGATCTTTTGTTGCAGTCTCTTCTTGTAGGTTTTCTCAAAATAATTAAACCTCTCACTATCAGCATACGTTTTCAGAAAGTTTTAGTCATTTCTATTTTATAATTGAAGTGCAACATTTAAAAAAACAAAACATTTTGATGTTTGAACAGATGGATATCTCTTCCTTAACTGGTGTGCCAGAAGAACACATCAAAACTCGCAGGGTTCGGATATTTGTTCCTACAAAAAATGCCATGCAGTCAGGAACCAACAATACCCATCATTGGAAAATGGAATTTGAAACCCGTGAAAGATGGGAGAATCCTTTAATGGGATGGTGCTCATCGTAAGTGAACTTGTTTATAAAGTGATGTTTATTCTTTTATTCAGAATTTTATTCAAAAACTTTCTAAAATCTGTTTTGAACAGAAGAAATGGATTTTTTTTTATAGATGATGAAATCATCACAAAGAATTATTTTTTTTAACTATCAGTTTTGTTAAAGTATTAATGAAATTATGAACATGAGGTTAAAGTGTATACCAAATATTCTTCCATTCATTAGCTTAAGTATTTACTTGTGTTGATAATTTTTAGAACCTTGTTAAACACAATAAAAGTATTCATATTATCTAGTATTTTGATCAGCATATCACATCTGATTATACTTTCTGACAACACAAAGTATATTGGTACTTTATTTACTGTGTTTTACAGTGGGGATCCTCTATCTAATATGAACCTACAATTCCTGTGCAAGGAAGATGCCGTTGCATTTTGCGAGAAAAATGGTGTGTGCAAATTTCATATACTAAAAATTAATAAAGATGTGGGCAGTTTTTTTTAATATGACCTCAGTACTTCAACTAGTATAAAAAAGTAATTGATCCTATTTTTCTGTTTTGAAAATATTCAATGTATACTGTTATAATTAAAAGTTATATCTATTATATTAGAGAAGTAGTAGTATTATTTTATGTAAACCATATTGTTATCATGAATTGTTGTGACTTTGTATATTGAATGAAATTATTAATAATTCTCAAAGTTTTTACTGCTTCCACAGTCGATGTTCTTTTCTCTGATTACTCACAAAAATTAAGAGATCAACATATCCTAATCAGTCATTAAGATTATAGTCTTTGGTAAGTAGAAGATATGCAAAATTTAAATCTCTTGCCTAATTTTAAAATATTAGATGCTATTATTGTTATGACTAATATCCTGTACAATCACTTAAGTCT